GTGGGAGTATGGAACTTGCTACCACAAGGAGTTGTTGAGGCAAATAGCATAGATATATTTATGGGGAAGTTAGATAGATACATGAGGGAGAAAAGCAAAGAAGGTTATGCTTGAAGGCTTAGTTGAGGAAGGGCAGGAGGAGGCTCATGTGGAGCATAAACACCAGCATAGACCAGTTGGGCCGAATGGCCTGTTTCTATGCTGTATATTCTAATGTATTCTATCTACTGTAATAAATCTTAGGAACAGTGATTATATGTTGGCAGGATATCTTCCTTAATCAGGAGAGAGCTTATTAAAATTAAGAATACTGAATAAATGGTAAAATATGTAATTATACCTTGGTAATGAAATTTTGTGACCTCTGTATTAACAAGAGCATCTTTGTCTTGCAAGGTAAGACTCTGGTCATCTTAAAGTGGATTATTGATGCATTTTAAAATTTACAGACGCATCTTCACAACATTCCACATTATGTACAATATGTCAAACGTGCAGTCAATTCGGTAAACAAGGTAAACACATTGATCGGATCAGCAACACAATGTCAAATTGCACATAGTCCAATTGTGCAACTGAACAGAAACGAAAGAAGCCATGGTATAAACTTCACACCACAAGACTTGATGCATCAATTGCTACACACCGTACTTCCAAGCCAATTATCAGAAGTGGCTATTTTTAACGGGCTTAAAAATTAAGATAGTGACATATTCATTTCACCAAATTTTCTTAACTAATACCCTCCGCCCCAATACTTCCAAGGAAACAATGTTAAATGGTACATTCTCCATTAATATTCGGTCAATTACTTAGGAGTACAGCACATTACTGAATGTGTAAAGTGGAAACACAATTTCTGTGAAAGTAGTTTCCATGTGACCAGGAAGTACGTTCCCAATCTATGAAGTGTGTTGTTGTTCAGCAAAGAGGACCACAAGGAGGAAGATAAGCAAACTGACTGCCGTCCCTCCTTCTGCATCACGTCTGAACGACCCCCCAAAAAATATGTAAAAAGCGGCGCTTTGCCTTTGCCTGTGTTGCCACAACGGGAAAGGGATGAATGAAACGCAGCCTCACACGCACAGAGATTAAAATCGCTCCCACCTTCTTGGGTTTTAGTTTCGGACACCGCTCCGCTCCGTGAATCGTTAAAAGTAAAAACCAGCGCGAAAAAAAAAGGGGTGTGTGCGGGGGGGGGGGGTGTGGGGGGAGGGGGGGGCTGTGGGGGGGAGGGGGGGTGTGTGTGTGGGGGGGGGGGGGGTGTGGGGGAGGGGGGGGGCTGTGGGGGGGGGGGGGGGGGGTGTGGGGTAAATCCTGCTATTGGGATGCAAGTGAAGCCACACAGACCTGCACCGGACGAAGGAGAGAGAGCGAACCCACCCGCTCTGCTAAACCCACCGCGTTTCAAGCGGCTTCTGCGTTTTGAGGCGGTCCCCCGCCCGCGGCGAGAGACGCGGGACTCCGGTTTTCGCGGTTTACCGGCGGGTCAGACGACGAGAGCGGCGGCCGATGCTCGGGCGCAGACAAGACACGCGACCCCGCCCCCCACCCGGTCGGTCGCTGTCACCAGGACCGACCGGGTCCCCCGGTCCGCAACTCCCTCAAAGGTCTCTCTCGCTCTCTGCTGGTTCAGGCGGGCGATGGGCTGCCGCTGGTCGGTTAACGAGCGGTGGGGAGGGAGGGAGCGATGTGACACTTACCGCTCTCACTCTCTCTCTCTCTCTCTCTGGGTGTGGGCAGCACCGAGACTCTCTCTCTCTCTCTCTCCCTCTGCTTCAGTCGCACATCTTCCCGCGGAGCTCACTCACTGCACACAAACCCAACCAGAGGAGAGTTCATAACAATCCGCTCTCTCTCTCTCTTTCTTTCTCTCTCTCTCTCTCTCTCGCCCCCTCTTTTAGTCTGTGTACGGCTGGAGGCGGCCGAGCGTGAAGCAGGTTGTCCTCAGAGGCCGCCGGCCGGCCGGGCTGCGGGGAATGTCCGTGCGATAAGCAGGTCGGAGTCGGGCAGGTAACCGGCTGCACCGCTCCGCTCAGCCCGAAAACAGACGGCGACTCTGGGAGGAGGAGGAGGAGGAAGAAGAGGAGGAAGAGGAGCGGCTGTACACGACGGCGAGGTGTAGCGAGGAGGGCAGACACACAGCATCCCGGCGCCGGGCTGCCGGCAGCCGTTACTCGGTGCGGCTCACGCTGTCTGTCTGCCGTTGCTAACCGCCGCCTGTTCTCTCGCTCGCTCTCGCAGCCGCGCGCCGCTCACCCGGAAGTGAACCGCGGGGTCAGGGTCACGTCAATCTCCCCGCCTCCTCCCACAGCCCGCGTGGGGTTGGCGCGGGGTGGGGGGGGGGGAGCAGTGCTGCGGGTTTGGGCGGCTTCACGCCCAATTGGGCGGGTTTGGGCTGCACTGGGTGTGAAAAACCTGCTCTGGATCGGATGTTTAATCTGTAAAGTTAAACCCGTCACACGGCTCCTTCCTCCTTTTGAAGACCTTTTCTTACATCGCGTTCGCCCACAAAATACAGTCAATTCACTTTACAGTGTGTTCTGTGAAGCGCTTTGGGACGTCCTCCCGACATGAAAAGCGCTATATCAAATGCAAGGATTATTATTATTAAAAGTACGATCCACAGGAGGCGAGGCATGGTGTTGGGATACTTGTTGTCTTGTGTTTGACTGACTTTGGGCTACAGATGCATTGGGATGTCTGGCCGCCCCGCCCCGGGTGGGGGGGACACCGTTTAATTCATTTTTTTTTAAAAAAGGAAAGAGTGAGAATGTAGTGACTCTGTGAAGACGGTGAAAAGCAACAGGAAAGCCCTGTGGCCGCTGCTGTACTTTCTGTGTGAACCCTCCCTGGCGGGTTCCTGGTGTTTGGGAGCAGAGCAGCTCGTGGCTGCAGATTCACGGCCACAGAGGACACCGGGAGTTTGGGCGTTTTTGTGCTTTTCAAACTGGACCCCAATAAAACAGTTTTTCCAACAATCGATCGTCAAAACACAAATAGATTAGAACTGCGATAATCAGTTCCAGTTTCACACATTCAGTGACAGTGTTGGGGTGACAGTGACAGTGTTGGGGTGACAGTGTGAGTTTTGGGGTGACAGTGACAGTGTGAGTGTTGGGGTGACAGTGACAGTGACAGTGTTGGGGTGACAGTGTGCGAGTTGGGGTGACAGTGTGAGTGTTGGGGTGACAGTGTGAGTGTAGGGGTGACAGTGTGAGAGTTGGGGTGACAGTGTGAGTGTTGGGGTGACAGTGACAGTATTGGGGTGACAGTGACAGTGTTGGGGTGACAGTGACAGTGTTGGGGTGACAGTGACAGTGTTGGGGTGACAGTGACAGTGACAGTGTTGGGGTGACAGTGACAGTGTTGGGGTGACAGTGACAGTGTTGGGGTGACAGTGACAGTGACAGTGTTGGGGTGACAGTGACAGTGTTGGGGTGACAGTGACAGTGACAGTGTTGGGGTGACAGTGACAGTGTTGGGGTGACAGTGACAGTGACAGTGTTGGGGTGACAGTGTGAGTGTTGGGGTGACAGTGACAGTGACAGTGTTGGGGTGACAGTGTGCGAGTTGGGGTGACAGTGTGAGTGTTGGGGTGACAGTGTGAGTGTAGGGGTGACAGTGTGAGAGTTGGGGTGACAGTGTGCGAGTTGGGGTGACAGTGTGAGTGTTGGGGTGACAGTGTGAGTGTAGGGGTGACAGTGTGAGAGTTGGGGTGACAGTGTGAGTGTTGGGGTGACAGTGACAGTATTGGGGTGACAGTGACAGTGTTGGGGTGACAGTGACAGTGACAGTGTTGGGGTGACAGTGACAGTGTTGGGGTGACAGTGACAGTGACAGTGTTGGGGTGACAGTGACAGTGTTGGGGTGACAGTGACAGTGTTGGGGTGACAGTGACAGTGACAGCGTTGGGGTGACAGTGACAGTGTTGGGGTGACAGTGACAGTGTTGGGGTGACAGTGACAGTGTTGGGGTGACAGTGACAGTGTTGGGGTGACAGTGTTGGGGTGACAGTGACAGTGTTGGGGTGACAGTGACAGTGTTGGGGTGACAGTGACAGTGTTGGGGTGACAGTGACAGTGTTGGGTGACAGTGACAGTGTTGGGGTGACAGTGACAGTGTTGGGGGGTGACAGTGTTGGGGTGACAGTGACAGTGTTGGGGTGACAGTGACAGTGTTGGGGTGACAGTGTTGGGGTGACAGTGACAGTGTTGGGGTGACAGTGACAGTGTTGGGGTGACAGTGACAGTGTTGGGGTGACAGGGTTGGGGTGACAGTGACAGTGTTGGGGTGACAGTGGTGGGTGACAGTGACAGTGTTGGGGTGACAGTGTGGGGTGACAGTGACAGTGTTGGGGTGACAGTGACAGTGTTGGGGTGACAGTGACAGTGTTGGGGGTGACAGTGTTGGGGTGACAGTGACAGTGTTGGGGTGACAGTGACAGTGTTGGGGTGACAGTGACAGTGTTGGGGTGACAGTGACAGTGTTGGGGTGACAGTGACAGTGTTGGGGTGACAGTGACAGTGTTGGGGTGACAGTGTTGGGGTGACAGTGACAGTGTTGGGGTGACAGTGTTGGGGTGACAGTGACAGTATTGGGGTGACAGTGTTGGGGTGACAGTGACAGTGACAGTGTTGGGGTGACAGTGACAGTGTTGGGGTGACAGTGACAGTGTTGGGGTGACAGTGACAGTGTTGGGGTGACAGTGTTGGGGTGACAGTGACAGTGTTGGGGTGACAGTGTTGGGGTGACAGTGACAGTATTGGGGTGACAGTGTTGGGGTGACAGTGACAGTATTGGGGTGACAGTGACAGTGTTGGGGTGACAGTGACAGTGTTGGGGTGACAGTGACAGTGTGAGTGTTGGAGTGACAGTGACAGTGCACGTGACCGCGGTGAAGCTGCTCCACCCGCATGCGCGGAGCTGCCGGAAGTTAGCGGCGTGCGGTGCGCATGCGCACGAGTTGCGTTCCCCTGGTTTCATTAGTAACGGTGAAGATGGCGGCCGCTCCCCCACCGCCAGCGCTGCCGCCCCCGCCTCTCCCCCCTCCTCCTCCCCCCTTAGCGGCTTCCACCCCCATCAAAGTGCGAAGTAAGAAGAGACCGGCCAGTCCCGGCACCAGCAGCGCCGCCAAGAAAAAGAAACTCGGACAGGTAAGTGCCAGCTCGTCCCCACCTCCCCTCACCTCCCCCATTCCCCCCCTCCCCCCACCTCCCCCCCACCTTCCCCCACCTCCCCCACTCCCCCCTCCTCCCCCCACCCCCCCCTCCCCTCCCCCCCACCTCCTCCCCACCCCCCACCTCCCCCCTCTCCCACCTCCCCCCCACCCCCCCTCAGTCAGGGTTTAAGGCCACCGAATTTCCTAAATGACAGGTCGTTGTCCAATGGGTTTAGAATACATTTATATTTTTATACATATACAGTATGTATTTACTGTGTATAAAACCCTTATTTATGGGTTTATGCCCTTTACGTTTTGCCCACAAAATACAGTCTATTCACTACTATAATAATAATGATCCTTGCGTTTGATATAGCGTCTTATCTTGTCTTCTAGACGTCTCAAAGCGCTTCACAGAATATACTGTACAATGAATAGACTGTATTTTGTGGGTGAAACGCTTTGCAATATATTCTGTGAAGTGCTTTGAAATATCTCAACAATGTGAGAAGGCATTATATCAAAATGCAAGGATTATTATTGTTATTATTATACAACAACAACATTGCATAGTGGCCCCTTTTTGATAGAAGTTATATTTGTGAGTGATATGGAACTGGGTATTTGAGGCAGCAAGCAAAACAGAATAGTCCCAGCTGGCTGGAAATACTNAAAAAAAGTTGCTTATAAGTAGTGATGTTGCCACAGAAGTCAATATTTAGATACTTTGATTCCAGTATCAAAACAGTTTAAAACATATGCCTGCATCATCCCTGCCCTTCTCCTCTGTCTCTCCCTCATTTATCACCACTCTTGACTCCCAACCCTCTCGTCTCCCACATAAAATTTACCATTTGCTCCTTTGATTCTTCACTGATCCAGCACTTTAGTGTTAAATTACCCTTTCTTGGCAAAATCTGCAAGTTACTGCAGATGCTGTGAATCTGAAATAAAAACAGAAGTCGCTGGGAACACTCACCAGGTCAGCAGCATCTATGGGGAGAGGAAAGTAAGTGAACGTTTCAGGTCGATGACCTTTTATCAGAAATCAGACAAAAGGTCATCACCTGAAACATTACCTCAGCATACCCATCACCCCAATCCTCGCCGAGCTCCACTGACTCCCTGTCTCCCAGAGGGTCAAACTTCAAGATCCTTACCCTTATGTACATATCTGTTCACACGCAAACACCTCCCTACCTCTCTGATTTGCCCGTACCCCACTCATTTGCCAGGCCTCTTTGCTCATCTAATAAGAGGTAGAATCGAGTTAATCTCTGTGACGGTCTCCTGAGCCAGGTAGATCTACAGTACTCCAGGGCACTGCTGATAACAGCCCTGCATAGCTCATCTGTAGGACTTGGAAGGATAGACCAATCATTGGGAACAGGGATTCTTCCCACTCAGCTCCTGTTAACCACGCAAGCCAAAGCCCTAAAGCACAGTGTGGTCCTAGCGGGAAAGCTTGCCAGACAATGCTTTCAATCGCAAGCTATGCAGGTTAGCTGGTTAGACTCTAGCAGTTCCCCAAAGCACATTCTGGGGTCCTCAAGCTTGGTTCTCGCCAACCTGAGCCTAATACTTTCCAGAATTAGGGAAGCAGGTTGTATCCCTCTAGGGAGAGAGTTTGCATTCTAATAAATATCTCAGGAATTTTCATTTGTAGGTGGGATGCATGGAGCTCTGTTTGGTTTGGACGCTTTAAGCATGGTGATGGGTTTCCACATGTGTCAGGCACCCAGCAGGCCCAAAAAAATCACAGTTCTGTGAAGCGCTTTGAGATGTCTCGATGATGTTTACTCATTTGTTTATTTTTCTGCTCTGACGTCTTTGTATTATTTTTGTCTTTTAATCCATTTAATTCCATCAAATTCTCTCCTCATTACTAAATGTTCTTCCTTATTACCACCTTGTCTCTTTTGAGTGTGTTCACATTATTTCTTGGCATTTTATTTTTCTACCTCTCCTGTCTCAACAACTCCCACAATCTCATTAACTCCACAACCTCTACATGTTAAGAATCAGTTTGATCTTAACATGTGCAATACAAATTTACATTTATATATAGCGCGTTCATGTTAGAAGGATGTCGTGGGGTTCTTGATAGTTCTGGTTTGGCACCCAAGCTGGGAGAGGAGCTGAGTGGGGTGGGGAGGGGAAAGATGAACCAAAAGCGCAGTCAAAGAGGAGGGTCTTGAAATGAACCTTGAAAGAGGGAGGGGAGGGACAGCATGCGACTTGGAGGGACTTTGGGATGGACTTCCAGACAGTGAGGTCAGACAGACTGAAAGGATGAATGCAGACGGTGGACCGAGTAGGATGGGGGATATGAAGCGGCTAGTGTCCATTGAGCGAAGTGAGCAGCTGGTTTGGTAAAGCTTGAGAAGATCGCAGAGGTAGGGTGGGGTAACACTGTGGAGGAATTTAAAGATGAGGACAAGGATCTTGAACTTGATATGCTGGAGGATGGGGATGATAGGCTCACAAAGCCTAGTTCAGGAAACGACACGGGCTGTAGCATTCTGGATAGTCTGCAGCTTGTGTAGAGAAGAGTCAGTTAGACTGGTGAGCAGAGCATTGGCATAGACGAACTTGTACATGATAAATGGATTAGGGTCTTGGCAAACCAAGGGGACAGGTAATGGTGGAGGTGAGCAACATTACGGAGGTAGGTAAAGCGGAGGGGATCAGAGCATAGATGTAGGGCTTAAAGGATAGTTGAGAGTATAACAACGCACCAAGGTTCTGCACCGGTTCCGTGGAGTGTGCATCCACACAGGGTGATACTGTCAGAGCCTGAGGCAAGTAGGCACTGGCAAGAGCCAAACAAGAATAGTCTTCCAACGGGAATAAAACCACCCATGGATTATTATTAGGTAATAATCCATGCATTTGGGAATATACTCGTGCTGAGAATTTCTGTATATACATCAATTTTTCTAAAAATGGTTCTAAAGCTTTAGTAGAAGCAAGACTGATAGAAGCAGTTGGAGGAAAAAGGAAGGGGAGTTCAGCTGAAAAAGATCAAAGGTTGAAGCTGAGAGAATGGACACCAAAGTGTCAACTAACAATTATAATAACAAGGTCCCATAGATATAGAATCGTTTGGGATGCCTAAAAGGAAGATAGATAAGATACTTGGGGAATAAAGATATTAAAGGATTTGGAAAGGTGGGGAAATGAGTTTGAAAGATCTCCCATGATGTAATAAAATGTTGAACAGACTCTAACAGCAAAATGGCCTCATGTTCCTAGGTTACTACAATATGTTCCTACGTCAATTATTTTCCCTTACTGAGGTTGAAGATATATGCACTAATGCAAAACAGAAATCCTTTTAACCATAGTCTCAGAAGGATCGCTCCTTTCCCCCTCCTCCCCCTGCAATTTCCTATTTGTCACCCAAACACATGGCATTTCCTAGTATGATTGTCATTTGGAATTACATGTACAACAACAACTACTTGCATTTATATAGCATTCCTCACACAGGGTAGTGTCCCAGAGTGCATACTCTTTCCAGATTACTAATTTATGTTGAAATTTCACTGATTCGTTTTTCTTAGAGTCATTAGAGGAGATTTCAGTCCAATACCAGAGATGAATGAATAGATTTCTAAACAATGCAGCACCAGGGTCTTGACTCCTGGGGTTCAATTAGGGAGTGACTTCTCTCTGCAGTATTATCATCACTGATTTTGTGTTCATTAGAGTAGTTTGTGGTTCAGACACATGATTAGGCGCTTTAATCTGTTTCTCGTTTGTAGGCTATTGATATTTGAAATAGAATTAGAATTAATCATTATAAACTGTCATGAATGATTAGAAGAGAATCCATTGAAAATGTTCTAGATTGGTCATATTTACTATACAACAACATCAACAAAACTACATTTGTAAAGCACCTTTCATGTCAGGATGACGTGCCAAGGTGCCGAGCAGTTGGGGATCAGGAGCCGAGCGTTGGGGGGCAGGGTTGGGAATAAGGAGGGCAGGGAGGTAGGAGGTTGGCTGAAGGCACTTTCGAAAAGGAGGGTCTTGAGTCATGCCTTGAAGGAGGTAAGGGAGGGAGGGAACAGACAGGTTGATAGGGGGTCAGAGAGGTAGGAGGAGGCAAGGCAGTGGAGGGCCTTGAAAGTGAGGACGAGGTTTTTGAATTCTATCCTCTAGGGATGGGGAGCCAGTGGAGCCGAGTGAGGGAGGCCCTGATTGGGTCGTGGAGCCTGGTGCGGGAGAAGACACAAGCTGCAGAGTTCTGGATGATCTGCAGCTTGTGGAGGGAAGAGTTGGGGAGGTCGACAAGGAGGAAGTTTCTGTAGTTAAGCCTTGAGGTGATGAATGCACGTTTGAGGGTTTCGGCGGCCTGAGGGGTGAGGCAGTAGCGGAGTCAGGCAATGTTGCGGAGGTGGGGGAAGGCAGAGTGGGTCACGGCACGGATATGCGAAAGAAAGGACAGTTGAGAGTTGAACAAGATGCCCAGATTCCTGACTGGCTTGGTGAGGTGAAGCGTGTATCCAGGGATGCTGATGCTGCCAATACCTGAGGAGCGGAGGTGCTGGCGCACCTCGGTCTTGCTGACATTCAGCTGTACAAAGTTGGCTCTCATCAAGGACTTGATGTCTGACAGGCAGTCTGTCAGGACGTTAGTTGTCCTGGAATCGAAGGTGGAGGCAGAGGGATAGAGTTGGGTGTCATCTGCGTACATGTCGACGTTGACCCCATGTCTGTGGATGATGGGGACCGAGGATAGAGCCCTGAGGAACACCATACAAGACTGTGCGGGGGCTGTAAGAGAAACCATTGGTGGAGACAAATTGGAGACGGTGTGAGAGATAAGACTTGAACCATTCAAGGACAGAACCTTGAAGGTTGAAGTGAGAGGAGAGGCAGTGGATGAGGATGGAGTGGTCCACGGTATCAAAGGCAGCGGAGAGAACGAGGGAACAGAGGGAGCCCTGGTCACAGATGGATAGGAAACTGTTTGTGACCTTGACCAGAGCAGTTTCCGTGCTGTAAGCAGCACGGAAACCCAATTGGAGAGGCTCCTGAAGGGAGTAGTAAGAGACGAAGGGGCGAAGCTTGGAAATAAAGACTCGTTCAAGGACCTTGGAAAGAAAAGGGAGGTTGGAGATGGGCCGGTAGTTAGAAAGCAAAGGATGGCGGTGATTATAGTTCTTTTTGGGGATGAGAATGGTGCCAGATGATAGGGAGAGATTTATGGTGTCGGAGAGTAGAGGGACGAGGAGGTGGAGCTGAGAGGTAAGGAGAGGGGTGGGGATGGGGTCAAGGGAACAGGTGGGGTGTTTCATGTTGGATATGGTGGTGATGAAAGAGGAGGGGGAGACAGGTTTGAAAATGTGGAGGGAGGGATGGGTAGGGTTCGGAGTGTGGGGGGGAGATGGGGAGGGAATGGCAGTTGGGAGGGCGGAGGCAGCTGAACGGATCCCCTCAATTTTTGGACTCAAGGAAATCCAGCATCTCCTCACAGTCAGAGCTTGAGTAGAGAATGGGCGAGGCCTGGGAGGGTCGACAGAGGAGCTGGTTGGTGGTGGAGAATAGGAGCCTGGGGTTATTCTTCGTTTCCAAGATTATCTTAGAGTAGAAGGACAATTTGGCAGAGGCGAGGGCGGAGTGGTACGTTTTGATGTGATCCAGTCGGTGGACCGATCAGATTTGAGCCTGGTGCGTTCGGCAGCCGGCACCTAACCCTTGAGGAAGCGGAGGTGGTTGGTGTACCAGGGAGAGATTCGTGAGTAGGAGGCGGTTCGGGAAGTGAGTGGGGCAAGGGCATCAAGAGTGGTGGAGAAGGAGTTGTGTAGGAGAGTGAGTGAGGAGGATAAATCAGTGCGTGAGGTAGGCCAGAGGGAGAGGAGTTCAAAGGGGGAGGAATTCTCTTTTGGTATATTACTAAAATATAAATAAAATATAGATAAATAATATATCTGGTATACTACCAAAAGAGAGAATTTGGGCTTCCCCCTTTGAAACAAATGAAAATTCGTACAAAAATGCAATAACCTTTATAACTGTCAAAGTATTCTGCAAAAAGCTATTGCATATGTTCACAAGTTTATCTTCGAATGCAACATCAACTTGCATTTATATAGCGCCTTTCACGTGGGGTAGCATACACCAGTATTCTTATGAATACTGTCAGACATCAAGTCCTGGATGAGAGCTAATTTTCTTCAGTTGAATGTCAACAAGACCGCGGCTCTCCTGATTGGATCCCGTCAGCACCTCCTCACCTCAGGCGCTGACAGCCTCACCATCCATGGTTGCACACTCCACCTCACTAAACCAGTCCAGAACCTTGGCATCTTGTTTGACCCTCAACTATCCTTTCTACCCCACATCTATGCCATGACCCGCTCTGCCTTCCCCACCTCTGCAACATCGCCCGACTCCGCCACTGTTTCACACTGCAGGCCATCAAAACCCTCATACACGCTTTCATTACGTCGAGGCTCGACTATGCAAACTCCTTGCTTGTTAGCCTCCCCCAAGTCTTCCCTCCATAGGCTGCAGATCATCCAGAACTCTGCAGCCCATGTCCTCTCCTGCACCAGGCCATCACCCCCATCCTCGCCTGACTCCCCTGGCTTCCCATCACACAGAGGATACAGTTCAAGATCCTGGTCCTCACCTTCAAAGTTCTCTATGCTCCCCCCTATCTCTGCGACCTCCTAACCCCTTACCATCCTGCTCGCTTCCTCCGCTCATCGGACTCCAGCCTGCTTCACATCCCCCGACTTGCTCACCTCACTATTGGCAGGCGGCTCTTCTGCCACTCTACCCCCACCTTCTGGAACTCCATCCCGCAGACCCTCCGCCTCGCCCCCTCCCTTATCTCCTTCGAGACCCATCTCAAGCCCCTCCTCTTCGACAGTGCTTTCGATCACCCTGCTTCCCCCACTGCCCTCCGCCCTCTCCAATCCCGACCCCCAGCTCGGGTCCAAAACTCTGACTGTCCTGCGCCTTGAGACGTCCTCCTGACGTGAAAGGCATTATACAAATGTAATTATGTTGTTGAATACAATCATTTTTTGAATTGAAATGGTAACTGCATCACAGTGCATGACCGGTCAGGACCATTCTATCCACTAAGGCATTTGACTTTGCAGAGTTAGGCACAGTCTATACCTCCAAGCCAGACTGTGTGGTTTCCATCAGCAGCATCTTATCACAGTGGTTTTACATTGTGAAATAGAAATATTTATATATCCCATCCTTAATAATAATGTTTACATTTGATATAGCACCTTTCATGTTGGGAGTACATCTTAAAGGGAGTTGCAGGATTTTCTCTAAAGTATCATGACTGTGTATTTTATAGGTGAACATGGCAGCCAATTTGTCCACACCAGCGTGCCATAAAACAACATAAATTGAATGACGAATTTTGATTGGAATATTGTTGACTAAGACAGGGGATTCCATACTTTTTGGGCTCAAGGCCCACTAGGTTTAGATATCATGGCCTCAAGAGCAGAGCAGCGAAGCCTCCCTTCCTCTCCACAGCCTCCACAAAATGCTGCCCTTAAATACTTTGCAGTGGAACCATGGGAACGTGTCTTTCAATTCCTCAGGCTGCGCGGGAGTCCAACAACAACAACAACAAGATTACTTTTGTATAGCAAATAAGGCTTATGTAGCTTTTAGACTTCCGGTAAGACTCCCAGCTCCGTGGCTCCCCTGAAACAATCTCACAGTCTCTTGTGGACCCAGTTTGGGAATCTGTGGACTAAGACACCAATATAAACACCCTTCTCTTTTCAAATAGTGTCATGGGATCTTTACATACACCTAAAGATCAAGAATGAACTGTTTAATGTCTCATCTGAAGGACAATACCTTCAACAACGCAGCCTATCATAGTGTGCAATAGAGTGTCACCCCAGATTATATGAATTCAAAGTCCCAGGGCTTGAACTCACAACCCCGACGTGACCGCCTACATTACTGCAAATTCACAACTTGATGGCATGGGTAAGGTAGAGACTGAGCCCTAGCTAAAATGGGTCAACTAGACATTTTTCACTCTACTCAGATGCAGTTTATTAATATAAATTTAAACAGTATCTCTAATTTGATATTCAATTTTATACCTGGATTAATTTATGAAAGGTTGGGAGATGTAATGATTTTTGCTATCTATGTTATTATTTTGCAAAGTAACGCTACATAATGTTCATATTCAAGCATTTGGGATGTAACAAATAATTAAAGGGGAGGTTAGAAAAAAAACGTTACCAAGAGTGTTTTTGGGGGCTGGAATGTATAGTTGAGCCAAAGTGTATAAATTATTTTAAAATACTGTAAATGTTTGAAGAATAATATTAGATGGATTGGAAGAGAATAGTGGTGCTTTTCTCATGTGTAGAAAAACACCAGCGGCAAAGTTAATGGACCAAATAGCTTACTTCTATGTCATAACTTTGAATGATTCTATAAAACTAAATTAAAGTATGTTTACAATGTAACAAAATGCTATTCATTGATATTTCATTTTTGTAGATTGGAGTATTAGATACCATTGGTGAAAGTAAAACTTTGGCGACAGATTCCAGCCCAGGCCATGGAGAGCCAGCTGCAAAACCTCCGGTATTTAAGGACCCAAACTTTATTGTAAGTACTTAAATTTCGTGTAAATTTATGAACATTAATCCACTGTTGATTTTCTTCCATCCATCAAAAATACATGTTCTAAAATACTGTTAAAAATACTATTCTGGAATATATTCCATAGTTAGTAAGAGAGTTTCAATATTAAGCAGAATTAGACAAATTAATAGAAATATTACTTTGTTTAAAGAAGTTGGGTATACAGTAAAATGTTACTCTTTTTGTAGCAACTTAAATAAATGTCTCCTCTAATTTACTTATAAGAATACTCCTTACATTTTGATCCAGTGTCTTTCATGTCAGGAAGACATCTCAAATTGCATTAGGGGATTTACGTTAGTGTGTGTAAAGTGACTGTACTTTGTCAGTGAATGCAGGCAGCTAATTTATATAAGCAATGTCCTACAAAGCTGCTGAAATGAGTAGCCAGGACACCAGGAAAAAACAACCCAAGGCCAAAGACCAACTTATGGTCTAGGCTGATATTTCAGTGTTGAGGGTGTACTGTATTGTTGAAGATGCCACCCTTTAAATGAGACATTAAATCAAAGTCCCATCTGCCTGGTTGAGTTGACATTAAAGATTCCCACAGTAGTATTTAGAAAGAGAAGGAAGTTTCTCCTGACATCCTGGCCAACAGTCCCCCAGGTGAAGGTGGTAATTCACTTCATGGTTGTTTGTGGGACATTACTGTGTGAAAATTGGCTTCTGCAATGTCCACAAGGTACACAGTTATTCCAATTTACAGGGTTTCCTGTGAAGCAATTTGGTAATTCCTCAAATGTAAGGTTAGTATATTATTTGGGGAAATTGTTGGCTGAGACACCAGAGAACCCTCTTCTCTTTTCAAATAAAATAAAGGTCACTCAATCCATGACTGTGGTATACTGCTGTGCACAATTGGCTGCCAAGTTTCACCCACAAAATATACAGTCAATTCACTTTACAGTATTTTCTGTGAAGCGCTTTGAGACATCTCGAAGACGTGATAATACACTATATCAAATGCAAGTATTATTATAAATCGTGTTATGGGATCTATCTGCCTGAACAGGAAGATGGGAGCTCAGATTAACATCCCATCTGAAGGGAGCACCTCCAACAATTTGGTGCTTCATCAGCACTGTATTACAGTGTCAACCTAGACTGTGAGGTCAGAGTGCCAATCCAAAACATGGATGTGTCCGTAAGTTTCTTTATTATCAACGCAAGCACTCCGATCCACTAACTATAACCAAACCAATTTGTCCCCTTCCAGTGGCTTTCTGTACTCCCTGTCCTTATCTCATTAGCTCTCTCTTAATTGCCTTTACTTCTTAAAGGGATATCCTCCACCAATGTAGAACTGGAACCCTCAACTTTCTGACTGAACCAGGCGGACACCTGTTTTGCCAATGATAACTCAAATTTAGCATGGTAATATTCGTGTTTCATACTTCTCTCTGTATGCTGCAAATCCAATTCAACTAGGTTTGTTTGGTTCTGTGAATCACTAGCAAGTTACTAATATTGTGAGTTATCCCGCTCTGTCAATCTATGATGAAAATTTGACGCTTAATTTGTGAAAAAATTGTTTTAAGATTTATGGAGCTGCCCAGAGTCGTGTGAGAACCAATAACTCTTGCCGTGAAACGAATGCCACACTAAGTAATTTCTCATTTCACCCACAAGTACTTTTTTTAGATTTTTTTTCCTCTCACCAGTTTTCTCTCCTCCGATTTGAAGGCATTTGTCTAGTTTTTCTCCTTCCTGGGGTAATCTAGTACCTCACCAAATAGCCATTATTCTCCCCACTCTGCGTCAAACTATTCTGTTGTTCAGTACTTTGAGACTGGACACTGACAGGCTATTGAACTGCAAGGAGCATTGCAGACAAACTCTAAATCTTACCTGACATCCAGATACATGAACATTCAGCATAAGCAGGACCCCTGGCTTTTCCATTTGCAGAAGCCCTTTGTGTCAAACCAGCTGAGATCAGCTAACTACAATAACAACAACATCAAAATTACATTTGTATAGCGCCTTTCACGTCGGGAGGACATCCCAAAAACTAAGAACAAACTGGGGTTCAAACTTGGGACTTTATGGATCTAAATGGAATAAATTAATTGAGTCATTGGAAAGATTTATCTTTCCAATAATTTATCTTTATGATTTAATGATTTATCTTTCCAATAAGATAAACTTAGCTTTCATTTAACACTTTTCCCTAAAGAGTTAACAAAGGTTGTGACCTTGTCTGTCTCAGGAATAACAACTTGCAATTATGCAACGGCAGATGGTGTCAGATACTGAGCAGATGCCATTTGGAGGTGAGGGAATGATGACAGGTACACTTAGGGTACATTTAACAAGGTCATAATTTAGGTAGTTTTTTGAAGATAGTGAGAGAGTGGAGGAGATGGTTGGATGGGTGAGGAAGTTCCAATGTTTGAGGTGTAGTCAGATAAAAGCTGAGTAGCCAAACTGGCCACCTAACTGGTCATCAGGTTGCCGCCATTGTGGTGCACACGTGGTGGTGGCAGAGGCAACCTGATGGTCAGGGCCAATAGAAAATTGCTGAAATTCTGACTGTCCAGTGCCTTGGAATGTCCTCCCGACCTGAAAGGCGCTATACAAATGTAATTTTGTTGTTGAGATACTTGCCAAAAATTGTGAGAAAATTTAACAAATTTTGTGGACAATTGCAGGGAGTTAATTGATTGGTGCTAATCTAAATGTTTTCACTTTATTGAATGAAAACTAAACATGAAAAAACAACACATAATGGATTGTTGCAAAAAAAATTAATGCTTTCTTTAACAAAAAGAACTGGGTGGCCCATTTGGGGCGGGGGTTGTGGATGACACAAGCGCAGGCTTGAAGGACCGAATGGTCTGTTTCCATCCCGCTTTACATTTGAAGGCCTGGAGATCTGCCAAACACCAGCATTGCTCACCAAGCTCACCAGTGTCCTGACTGTGGAGGTCACCACCTCCTGCCTCTTGGGATCTGCTACCGCACACAGATATAGAAAGACACACACTCACTCACAGACACAGAGAGAGTCACTCACAAATACGTAATAAAGCACATACAGAGGAGAAAGATGCACAGACACACTCACACAGAGAGAGACACACACACTCACAAACACACAGACAGAAGAGAGATAAATGCTTTAGGACAAATGCTGGATTGGAATCTTGCTTATTATACCAGAAATTGTGCATGTACTATTAATGTTAATCTTTTGCTCATATGAAAACTTGTTTGGAAGCTTTCCAATTCAATTGAAAATTTACATTTTAGGAATACTCCAGATTGGAGATTCAGTTTTAACTTAAGCATTACAAGTAATTAATTTTGGCAATTGAATGCATTTGTTTCTCTTTACCACCAAAATAAATGCTTTTGCGAGAACTGGATAAATTGTGTTTTTAGTGCAGTAGTTTTCATAATGTAGCCTGGCAGTCTCTTTCAGCCTACAACCCCCTCAGCTGTGTGTCTCAGCATGCAATAAATACTGCTTCATGAATATCTGGGTCTGCATTCATAATGTAAAACACAGCAAGTCTTAACTCATAACAGTTACAATAAGATCTCTGATTATTAATAATAAGACATCATCATTCTTGTACTGCAATATGTTACATTCTTTTCCTGTAAAGCTAAAGAGCATTCTAATGAATTGTCAATAATTTCTAAATGTAAGGGAGGTATATACGAACACTTACTGGTGCAGCTCCGTCATGATGTGTTGCTAATTCTAATCCTCCAGACGCAGAGGCAGCTGGAAGTAGATATTTTGTCTCGTGTTTTTCTCGTTCACATCATAAATGGGAAGTTCTGCCCTCAGTGCTCTATTTCCATTCATGATGTCACTGGAGCAGAATTTTATATTGAATCAGGTGGATATCTACCGTTTCCTCCCAGACGGCCTCCTACCAGCAATTTTAAATATAAAACGTGGTGCAGGTCTCTTTCAAACCTGCCACAATTAAAAAAAAACACTGGACCCCTGCAAACTCTCTGGTTATCGCCCCATCTCAAACCTGCCTTTTATGCCCAAGGTGCTAGAACAAGGCTCCCTGTGTCTTGTTCTCCTTGTTCTTTCAGTCTTGTTTGATACTGTTGACCTTCCCTACCAAGTAAGAGAATGTCCTACATTATGGATTTCAAGAGGGAAATAGACTGGTATCTAAAGGATAGAGGCTTGAAGAGATATGGGGATAAGGCATGGCAGTATGATTGAACATACTCCTTGCTCTGAGAGCCACTGTAGACACAATGGGCTGAATGGCCTCCTCCTGTGTTGTAAATTTCTATGATTCTATCCTTCTCCACTCTCTCTCTCTCTCTGGCAAGTCTCTATGGCTCTGAACTTTGCTAGTTTCACTCCTACTTGTCTCAGAGTTTTTACTATGGCTCTCTAATGGCTTCTCTTCCTGGCCTGTAACAGACCTCAGTCCTCTCTTTTTCCATATTTACATGATTCTCCTTAATGACGTAATTCACAAGTATGGGGATGACAGACTCTTGGATGAGCCTTAACTTTCTTCAAATCATTATCAACGAATCTGAGGCTGTGTTATGTTGTAGCATCTCAATTGCTTAGGGTATCACCCTCCCTTGTTGCTCACTCCAGTTCATAGAACTTCTGCATTTTGTTTGACCTCAACTTTCTAATCAAGTCTGAATTCTGGGTCATCAGGTCGTCACTGATGTGACTTCCTGTCCAGACTCAAGAACCGGATAATATAGTTTTGATTCTGTAAGAATTGTTTATAATACCTGTTGTATTAATTGTGCTTATGTTACAATAAACCTTGATTACACCCAATTGAGATTGTCAAGTCGTTCATTAGTTACGATATTTGGAATAGGGAAGCCTTTCCAAATACCGACAACAATGTGAAATGCGTAGTAAGTGACATTGTACTATTTGCACTATAAGAGAACTCGTTTTTATAACAAAGCACTTTATAACAGGGTTCCACTGTATTGTTGTTATGTAGGGATGTTGAAATGTCTGAATCAGTTTCATCCTTGAATTGCATTCTTATGTTTGTTTCTAAAGGATCTTTCAAGTGTGGAATAATCTGTGGAACTCTGTAATCCACAGTGTCCCCTGTCTTGTCTTGACCAATCTATTTATACAGTGATTTTATAATAACTTATTTAGTGTAGTTGAAATACTTATTTTGCAGCAGGTATTGTTAACAATACTCAATGCGATTACACACTCAATACTGTCCCAGCAACTTGCAGTGGAATGTTTTGTGACTTCAGGGTTGTATTCTCTGCAAGCTCCACCTAGGTATCTGTGCAGAAGGAGATGTATTATTTTTATGGTTGACTTCACGAAATCTTGCAATAGTAAGCATATTGAGGTGTCTGCAGGATCGTGAGCTCCTGCTGCACAAGTCCATCATTTCATGTTTCCAGTCATTAAATACTCTTTAAGTCTTACATAATACCTTATCCATTTTAGAGTGTAATTGCTTGGTGCTAATGAATCAAACAAAAGAAGCTGATTTTTATTGAAGATATGAATTTAAAATAGCCTGCTTCTTGAGTTTCACATGAGTAGAAGTGAATCATGACTTTATATAGTATCTACATGTATTACAGCAACACTTGCATTTATATAGTGTCCTTCACACGGGGTGACATCTCGATTAGATACTCCTAGAGTAAAACCAAATTTAAAAAAAAATGAGTACAGAAGATAAATAGGGCAGTTCGGTTGAACGCAGTTATTCACTTGAATGAAGCGAGGGATTTAAAGTTCAAATATCAATAGTCTAGATAGCCATGTAGTTTTATACACTGTCCTTTTATCTCTCAGACCTGGGTTTGAATTCAGTGCAGATTAATAGTATGAAAATCTCTGCTTTCAGCAGAGTAAAATCAACCATTTATTTCATAAGGAAGAAGTACTTGTTACTAACACTGAGTCACTGAAGTGGAAAAGTGGAAAAGTATTCCATTCTATGTTCCCTCTATTTTTTTCGGCCATGAGTGGAATGAATGTGGGTTTGTGCACCGATATAAAGGGAAGAGGTGAGGAATAGAAATGACGAAAGAAAAACGTCAAGCGGTATTCACGTCACGCAAGTGGATGTGGCTATTGGTCCAGGCGGGAGATTTTGAAATGGAGTCTCTGCGCCTGGTACCTCCTTTCCTGGAACATGAAGCCATCTGATTAAAGGGAGTGGGTAGAGGAGTGGGATGCAAGCAGGTTGGAGAAATAGGGAGGTGTACACGAATGAGGATCTTGAAGTCAGTCCATTGTGCAATAGATAGTCAGTGGAGTCTGGCAGGGACTGGGGTGATGGGGTGTGGAGTTTGATATGGACAAGGATACGGGCGATGGAGTTTTGAATGAATTGAATTTTATGAATAGTGGAGCTGGGGAAACTGGTGAGGAGGGCATTGGAAAAATTGAGGACAGGGATGACAAATGTGCGAAAGCATTTCAGCTGCGTTAGGTGTGTGGTATGGTTGGAGGTGGGCTGTATAAATGTACCATAAGAAATAATTAATTATTTAATTATAACATGCCTATTTATGTATCAGTATGTCCTTACTTTGGAGCACCGACAAATCAAATATTTTAAACGTTTTACTATTACAACCCAAGCCTGTGTGTTAGAATTTGCACTTTTTGTATAATGTTAGAATCACAATAGATGTTGCGAACGGGTTAACTTTTAAGTTAAGTGTGGGCAGCTGGACTGAAACTCATGAGTTCCCAGGATCACGTGAATGTCTCAAGGATAAGATGTCTACTACTGCCGTCCCGGGTCGCGGAGACAAGGATACGGGAGATGTAGCCGTCCCGGGTCGCGGAGACAAGGATACGGGAGATGTAGCCGTCCCGGGTCGCGGAGGCAAGGATACTGGAGATGGGGCCATCCCGGGCTGCGGAGACAAGGCTACGGAAATGGAAGACCGAGAGCTAGAAACACTAAGACTGAGGATATCAGATGGAAGATTGAAAGCTGTAAGCAAGAAGACTGAAAGCATGAAGAATCAAGCTTGTGTGCTGTAAAGACACAGTGTTGCACTCTTGAACTCGAGATATCTATAGTGGTGTTATTCTGTTATAAGATCTTTTGATTGTACCGGCCTTTGGTCTGACCCATCGGGATATTGGGGAATAATGAACGAATAATAATAAAACAGTCTGATATCTGGTTAGAGGAATTAGCGTTATTTCCTTACAGATTTGGCTGATTTTATTTTCTAACATGTGGAAAGGAGCTGAAGATGATCTATAGGTTAATCAAATGTTTGGAAATGTTTTGGCACATTTTAGAAATAACTGGTTGAAGCTTTCCCAAAGGTACATTTGTTAAAACTGCCATATATGAAACTGAGCCACGTGGACCAAGAAGGTCATAGATTTAATCCCTAATCCTTGCTCAGTTATGTGATGTAAGAAAGAGCAACAGTTGCGTGCTAAACTTGGATGAAATGCCCCCTTTTAGGAAGAAAAGAATAGCCAGGGTTCCCATTCTTGATCATTGTCAAGTGGCTTGTACTAGAAACTGTGCGGATGCTAGTTGAAGTTGGGTTGTGATGCCCACTACAGACAGATTGCCTATCAACACTCGCTGTCTTTGTTCAAACAAAAATATAGACAGTTTATGGACAAAATACTGACACTTGGCCAAGTTATCAGTACTGCTTTTGCTGCTGAGTCAGAAAGCTCAAGCCCTTTGAGCTTGCAGTCTATAGCGCATTGCTGGGGGAGTACAGCATTGTCGGAGGTGCCATCCTGCCTGTTCAGTTGGATGTTAAAGATTCTACTAGAAAAGAGCTGGGAATTTCTACCGATGTCTTGACCAACAATTTGTGGGACATTGTTGTGTGACTGCCACGTCTGTCTGCACTTTACAGTGAATCCTGTGAAGCACTTTGCAATGTTTTAATGACATAAGGGTCTAAATCAGATGCAAAGATTATTATTTTCTCAGTAACAGAATTCACAATTTAAGGCAGCATCTTCAATAGAGGATAGGCAAATGATTGATTCTGAGACCTGAAACGACACCTTGGTTTAGCCTGTAAGAGCATTATGTCTTAAAATTGAAGATCTTTTAGAAAAAAGTGTTACATTTTATGACAGAGTGGTCTTTGGGCTTTAGTAGGTGGAATGTCAGGCCTCTGATACATTGAGTGAAACTTCACTTGTCTTTTGTATCTGTGATGTGATAGCTCTGAGAAGAAATAATGTATTTTTTGTTGTTGAAAATTGAAACTGAATTGGATTATTGATTGCATGAACAGTTTGCAGCAAATGTTTTACGACAATTAGTTGCACGGAAAAAAGCAATCATGTTCAGGAACTGTGCACAGAATTTATTTTGTCGCAGATTCTTTCTCATTGGTGTCTTAATTTTCAGCATTCTGGCATCGGTGGAGCGAGTGTTGGGAAGAAGAGCCGAGTTTGGAAAAATCTGAAGCAAATCCTTGCAGCAGAGAGGACATTACCATGGAAACTGAATGATCCTAACTGTGAGCTTTTTCACAACTTATTGCCTTTTAGTTTTTTTTGTATACCTCAGCCATTCATATAAAATCATGCCAGCCTGTTTCCATTCATATATTTCATTGCTGCTCAAAAGTTTAGGTTTCAGTTATACATGTCTAAATACTCAGTAGTGTGTTTTATTTGGAAGCTGGTTCCAGGTTCAGAGAAAATGTTGTTTTAATTTTATTACTTTGTATGTTCATACTATTTTATGTTGATTCTGTCATGGTTCCACTAAATAATATAATATGTAAGAATATCATTGATACGAAAATAACCTGCAGTTAAAGAAACCTTGTTATCCATCCCAACTGTTGATCCATCCCAACTGTTATCCATCCTTGTTATCAAATTGTTATCCTTATTATCCATCCCAACTGTTCCCAACTCTGTGTAAAGATATGGTTTCTGGCATTTGTCCTTAACAGCTTTTCATAACTGTTTACTTGAGTCTTTCCTGTGACCTTGACATATCTGAAACCACTGTTTGGGTTTATATTCTCTACCCCATTTAGCAGCTTACATTATAAGGAGAGGAAATCTCTTTTCCTAACTTAACCTATCTAGTCCTGATAGCTTATCCCTCCAACACTGGAAGAGCCCACTGTTCTCCTCTGAATATGTTACTTTACGTAACCATGAGCAGAATTGCAAGCGGATACAAGCCTAACCAGAGCACTGCACAGCTTGAGTTGTTTAATTGGTGCTTTTTAGCTCTCAAAATTCCAGTTCTCAACTTTTTCAAATTATGATTCTTACGCAGTAATATAACTGTAAAAAAGAACTTGTATTTCAGTTTCAACAACCTGAAGAAAATCTAAGTCCAAAATAGTATTACAAATATTGCTCTCTAGCATCTTCCATTTTAATGCCATTTCAAATGAATGCCTAAGAAAAGCAGGGTATTTTTCTCTTCCTCTTCACCACTAGAATAAGACCACAAAGTGTTACTCTACTGATATTTGTGTCAAAACAGTGCCAGAAAAAGTGTGAATTTACCAGACAATCAAAGCTGTACCATGCCCAAGTATTTGATTCAATAAGTGTATCCACAAGAGTCAAAAAGTTAATAATGGATTTTCGTCTGTCTAATGACTTGAGCTAAGTATTTCAGACCATGGCAAAATTGCGCACTTGCACATGAAGTTTTTAAGGATTCAATTCACGTCACAACTATGTACATATGCACAATCGTTTTCTTCTGCAGCAGATTTTTGCTTGTATATAATGTAGAGATGGACAGAAATATTTTAATATACATGTGAGATGGGAGGAATAGAGAGAGGAAAATTTGGCAGGGGTAGTGAGAGAGTGAGAGAAATAAAAGGATGATGGGTAACAAGAACAACTTGCATTTATATATCGCCCCTCATGCAGGGCAGCATCCCAGAGTGCTTGAAGTAACATATTAAATAAAATTAATTTGTATTTTTATGTTCTTGTAGAGTGATGTTAATTAACGCAATAAATTGCCAATTTCAACGATATTTGTTTTAAATCTCCAGATTGCAGCATTGATGCTCCACCGTCCTTTAAACCAGCTAAAAAGTATTCGGATATTTCAGGACTTCCTGTAAGTGTAATTTTAATTGTATTTATTGCACTAAACGTTTTTCTTCAGAGTTTAATGTCCCATGATCACCACCAACTTCGAGAACATACCATGTCTGTGTGTCCCCAGGAGGTACAGGCTCCTCTTCCCCTTGGCCTTTTGTCCCAGTAATGGTTAGTGACCCATATTTCAATCAGAGGGAACAGGACAAACTGGTATTTTTTTTCCTTTTTCTCTGTCTCTCTCTCTTCCCCTCCAACCTAAAGCCCGCCCTCAACTCACATTCTGTTTCTATTTAAAATGCCAGTAAGGCGAGAAAAATAATCTTACCCAGAAAACTGTCTATACCCTCTCAGGAGTTTGAAACCCCTGCACTAAGTGAATCTAATTTCAATAATGAAGATTTTATATAAATAAAGGTGGCAAGATCTATAAATGGCCTGAGTTGCCTTATAATCTAAATCTTAATGGATTGTTTAGTCTGTACCACTAAACTATAGTACAATTGCCCAAATATGTGTATGGTAAATTCTAGAGATAATAATATAGCTTTAGAAATGACGAGAAGAAACTCAGACCTGAACTTAAATAGGGGATGATGTTGACGGGGAAACATGATCTTAGATAAAAGTGCAGAGATGATCAGATGTAAGCAGGCTCTGTTGTTAAATCTTACATCTTGTATCTATTTGCTGCTCCACAGTAAAATATTTCAAACATAAAACAATTTTGAATGTTTGAGTGAATTAAAATGGGAAAAGGCAGATAACTGAAGAGCTTTGAGTTAATTGTTTTCATCTGTCAGCTGTTTCACAAGTGTATTATTAAATGTATTTAAAACAAGTTATTATTTTTGAAAAAGCACTTCAGAGCTATTTGGAGTATACCAATCATGTGTAATTGTCACCTTTTCAAAATTATACACCAAACAATGCCACTACAACTGTTGCCAGTTACACAGGGAGTTCAGGGTCAGTTTTAGTCTCGAAGCAGCAACAAATGCGTTGAATTATTTTTCACTTCCCTATTGACTTCAAAATGTGTTGGGCAGAATTAATTTGGAATAGTGGGGGAGTCTTCAGTGGGCAGAGCATCGTATTACACACACTAAGGTTTATAACATTGCCAGAAGTGGCCCTGGTGCTCCAGTTAGATAAACACATTTCAGTTTTGATTGTCCATTGTCAGAGGTTACATCTCATCTGGAAACTCAAACAGAAAACATGTTTGTGTTAGGCTTTTTTTGTTGAAAATTAAATCCTTGAAAGGCTTAGTTGGAATCCATTCAAATTGAGGTTTACAGCATTCAGATAATGCATGGTGACGCAGATATAATTTTCACTTAATTTCCCTCTAGTGTGAAGGCAGTGATGATCAGATCATAATCACCACCAGCCAGACTGAACCAAACTCTTTTGAAAAAGGAGGTTGTTGTGGTGGAGTTAGATATAAATATCCTTTTCTTGATTTGAAACTGCAAATGTTTCTAAGTTTTCATCAAGTTTTAGTGATCTGTAACAAGCATGACTATTTTTATGAGCTGCAAAATAGTGGCGTGCATCCTCTTAGCAATGGGAGGATGTACAGGATGAGCTGAAAACCACTGACAGAATTACGACTGTTTCCTACACAAAAGGAACAAATCATCAGAATGTGTACAACAGCAGAATCAATCCTGTAAGTCGCAGGCTTCAGCCAGTTGAATATGTGATGGAAATGTATATACAAAAAATTATAGAAGGGTGAAAAAATGGAAATGATTTCACCACTGTGCCTTGGTGAGTGAATTGATGTTTTGGCTGAAGCAAAGCATGGAATTTTAGGCTTTGGAGAAGTATTAAGTTTTCATCACAAAACCTCTCTAATCAGTAACTTCGAAATGGCAATAACAGCAATAGCACCAACAAGTGTCAGCGTGGTAGCACTCTCGGCTCTGAGTCAGAAGATTCAGTTCAAACCCCATGTTGGAAATTAGTTTATATTCCAGGCTAGCATTCAATGCAGTGCTGGTGTCCTTTAGATTAAACATTAAACCGAGGTACAGGTGGATTCCTTTGACAATATTCACAAAGAGAAGGGAGTTTCTTGGACATCAATTTCCCAGATTAAAAAAAAATGTTTGTTTGAGAGCTGTTTGTGGGACATTTCTGGGTGTAAATTGGCTGCCACAACACTTTATATTGGGAGAATGTTACACTTTACAGGAAAATTCTGTGAAACACTCAAGTTTTAAGTGCTTGATAAGGTGCTGTATCAATGCAAAAATTATTATTAACTCAACATTACATGAAAATCCTGTTTTGCATAACAATTGCTTTCACTTCTAACATTTTCAATCTTGTTCTCATAAATGACAAATGGAGTTAAGCTATTGTGCTTTGAAACTTGAAAGAATTTAGTTCCAGTATTTAACTTCTCTTTAAACCATGGGTGCTGGGATGAAGAACAATTTCTGATTTATCACTGTCTTTAGCTAGCAAGGGTGTATTTAGAAGACTTCTGTGTAAACATTTCATAGGCAACAGAAATTTTCAAAGAATAGAAATCACTGTAAATTGCTGAAAGCATGGGGAGAATGTGCACAAATCCTGGCTCAGTTGTTACCACTCTCCCCTCTGAATCACAAGGTGTGAATTTAGAACCTTTGTTGGGACTTTGAACTTGCATAGTCTAGGCTAACTCCCAACGCAGTGCTGGGGTGCACAGTATTGTTGGAGTGACATTCTTCGGATGAGGTGTTAAACCAGTGTCCCATCTGCCCTGAACAGGTGGACGTTAAAGATCCTGTGGCACCATTTAAAAAGAGAAGGCAATTTTCATGGTGTCCGAGCTAAAAATTCCCCAAATAAAATTGGGCATTTGCTTAATTGCCCTTTGTGGGCCATTGGTTGGCTAGGAATTACTCAATGTTTTGGGGATGTTAAAGAAGAGAACTATTACCTACCAGTAGGTTATTAAAATTAGCAAGCCATGGTTTACATACACTCTAGAGCGTGGAAACTGGCGACACAGCCAAAAAAGTCTGCCAATGTTAATACAACACATGAGTCTCCACATATGCCTTGCTGCCTCTCTTACTCTTCTATTCCTTTCTCCCTCATATGAAGGTCTAGCTTCCTCTTAATTGTATCTATACTATCTTCTGCAACCACCAATTCAAGCAGTGATGTCCACATTCAATGGATACTGTAAAGCACACTGAGACTTGGATTACTTTTACTAGTCAATTGTGCATTTCATCAGTCTGAAAAATAGAATAGCTGGGTTTGATTTGTGACAGTTCTCTACAGTAACTCTTTCTAGTTTTTAAAAGCAATGCTTTCATCTGCACAGGGTCAGAGCCGAAGATACTGGGTCATTCCATGTATCCAATGAGAAACCAAGTATTTTTACTACTTAGTTAAATAGAATCTATTAAATTTCCCATCTTTCAAAATCTTTAGAAGGTAAGAAATGTTACCATAATTTAAATTTATTGCATGGATTTATACTTCTATAATATTTGAAATACTACTGCTTCAAGGCAGGAATGCATTCAGAGTGCCTTTCAATATTTAATATGAAGAATTATAGTACAAAATATGAAGGATTTTATTATCTTGGGAACTCTGCTTGAATTTGAGAATTATTTCATTGCAATGAATAAAGGTAGGATTTTTCAGAAAAGTAGCCTGTTACTTCAGGATTTACATATCAATTGGTCTTTTGGATTAGCCACAACAATAACTGTAATGGTGCCAGAAGCAATACAAATAACCAATAATAATAATCTTTGCGTTTGATAAAGCGTCTTATCACATCATCGAGACGTCTCAAAAGCCATTCACAGGATGTACTGTGGAGTGGAGTGACTGTATCTGTAGCTGAACATGGCAGAACCTATTTATGCGTAGCAATGTCCCACAAACAGCTATGCCTGATTTTATAATATTTTGTATTTGATATAGCGCCTTATCACATTGTTGAGACGTCTCCAAGCACTTCACAGAATATATTGTGAAGTGGATTGACTGTATTTTCATCTCCAAAGCCTCCCTTGGTCTTTCCCCCTACTCCTCTGGCAGCTTCCCCTCCTTTGAGCACTTCATCCTCTTCCATCCCTCTCTCCCACTGAAAATCCTTCTGGTCTACCACCCCCTAAGCCCCCTGACTCCTTCCTCTCTGACATCTCTACTCTCCTCTATTCCCTGTCCCTCTGCTCCGAACGCCTGCTCATAATTGGCGATTTCAACCTCCACCTAAACTCCCCTTGCACCACTTCTTCTGACTTCACTGCCCTCGTCTCTTCCCTAAACCTCACCCTTCACATTAATTCACCAACCCGCAACCGTGGCCATGTCCTCAACCTCGTTATCACCCACGGCCTTGACATTTCCTACCTTAGCATAGTGGACAAGGCCATCTTGGACCACTTCCTCATCTCCTTCTCCTCTCACATCCCTCTCTCCTCCACCAAGCCCTCAACCATACTCTACTGCCCGTGGAAAGGCTACCCCCTGAGATCCTCACAAAGGCCCTCACATCCTCAAATAGCCTATCCCTCTGGTCTTCCACCCACAGAGATCCTGAAGCAGCCGTCCAACTGCTCCATGATCGCCTCTCCTCCACCTTCAACTCTCTCGTCGCCCTGAAATCCAGGACCATCTCCAAACCCACCCGATCCCCCTGGTATAACAATAATCTCCGCTCCCTAAAAACGCAAACCCGGCTGCTCGAGCGCAGATGGCAGAAAACTGGCCTGACAGTTCACCATCAACTGTGGCTCGAGCATCTCCACAGCTACCGCTGTTCTTTGACTTGGGCGAAAGCGGCCTTCTACTCCAACATCATCTTGGAGGAAAAAAACAATCCCAAAGTCCTTTTTTCCATCATCCACTACCTCCTCCGTGCGCCCCCTCAGGCCTCCTCAATCTTCACATCTAATGCCAAGGGCAAGGAGGTCATGGACTTCTTTTCAACCAAAATACATAACATCCGCCAGGCAGCCTCATCCACCTGCCTCTTGTCACCCACTACCAACCCCTCTCCGTCCCCCTCACGCTCCCCATCATCAGCTCCTATCACGACCCCCATCCTACATTCCTTCCTCCCCATCTCTCCCTCCTCCCTCTCACCCACCATCACTTCAATGAAACCCACACCTGCTACCTCGACCCACTCCCCACCAATTTGCTGGTCACCCAACTCCCCCTCCTCTGCCCACTACCGGCTGATGTCATCAACCAGTCCCTCTCCTCTGGATCAGTCCCTGCCCCCCTCAAAACTGTTGTCATCACCCCCCTCCTCAAAAAACCTTCCCTAGATCCCTCAAACCCCAGCCATTACCGCCCTATTTCAAACCTGCCCTTCCTCGCCAAAGTCCTAGAACGCATTGTTGCCAATCGACTCTGCGCACACTTCCTCTCACTCCCTCTTTGAACCCCTCGAGTCCGGTTTCCACCCTGCGCTTGTGAAAGTCTCAAATGACATCCTCTCTATCTGTGACCAGGGCTCCCTCTGTCTCCTTGTCCTCCAAGACCTCTCCGCCGCTTTTGACACAATCGATCACTCCATCCTTCTCCACCGCCTTTCCTCCGTCATCCACCTCAGTGAGACCGCACTCGCCTGGTTCGAGTCCTACCTCACGAACCGCCAGCAGTATATCTGCATAAACAGCTTCTCCTCCCGCTCTCACCCAGTTACTTGTGGGGTACCCCAAGGATCCATCCTTGGCCCCCTCCTCTTCCTAATCTATATGCTCCCTCTTGGGGTGTCATCCGCAGACATGGAGTACACTTCCACACGTCACCCAACTCTATTTTTCCACCTCACTTTGCAGTCCCCTGATGTTCTGTCAGCCTGCCTGTCAGACATCAAGAGCTGGATGGGCGCGAATTTCCTTCAGCGAAATGTTGACAAGACGGAAGCCATGCTCTATGGCTCTCGTCAACGTCTAAAATCGCATGGTTCTCACCTCCTCCATCTACCCAACCTCCCCCTAAAACTCTCCGAACCTATACGCAACCGAGGCGTCAAGTTCGACCCCCCAATTATCCTTCCTCCCCCATATCTGGTCCCTCACCAGCACCGCTTTCTTCCACCTCCGATTCATCGTCCGTCTCTGCCAATACCTCACTCCAAAAGCCGCTGAAACCCTGGTCCATGTTTTTGTCACCTCTTGGCTGGACTATTCAAATGCCCTCCTCGCCGGTCTCCCCTCCACTACCATTCATAAAATCCAGGTCATACAAAACTCTACCGCCTGCATTCTTACCCGCACCAAACTCCACTCCCCGATTACCCCAGTCCTTGCCAGACTGCACTGGCTGCCTGTCCCAGAGAGGATCGACTTCAAGATCCTCACTCTTGTCTTCAAATCCTTCCACTCCTCTGCGCCCCCTACCTCTCTGACCTCCTCTCTTCTCACAACAGTGCCCTCCGCTCCACCATCGACGGCTGTGCATTCAGCCACTATGTCCCGGAACTCCCTTTGTCACTCCCTTCGCCTCTTCTTATTTTCAGGTCTCGGCTGAAGACTTTTCTTTTCGACCGCGCCTTTGGTCACCTTCCTCCCCCTCCCCCTGGCTCGGCCCCGGGATCCGTTACTCTGAAGCGCTCTGAGATGCCGTCCGGCGTGGAGGGCGCTATATAAATCCAAGTTGTTGTATTTTGTGGATTGATTTTGTGGGAGAAACACCCTTTTCTTTCCAAGTAGTGTGATGGGATTTTTAAAGTGAACTGTTTTTTTAATTCCAGCAATTTATAGAATTGTTTCTTACTACATAGAATAAATTACATTGTAGGGCTTGATGATACAACACAGAGTTGCACCTTGTGTCACTCCTGTCAAATGATCTAGCAAAGGTGTTGAACAGATGCAAGGAATTTTTCTCGAGAAGAAAATTCTAATTGTGAATCTACCATCACCTTGGGGCCTGTTTAAAGTATCCGCAGATGCCTGGAAACAGATTGCATATCCACACTCTTAAGTATTCGAGGACGCTGGAAAGAATTAGTGTAGATGGCAACAAAACAAATGGTCAGGAATGCTCCTCAAGTTAATTGCTACGCATGTGCACTCACTGTGTAGGAAGCACCACTTCTTCTATAACTTCTATCTTCATGAAGGGTTAAGTTACAAGTCATCAATAAAATTAGATTTGTTCATATGTCTTGTTTGCCATATTTTATACTGCTTGTTAAAATTTTATTTAGGGTTTTAAATGTAGCAAATTATGTGTAGATTATTTTTAAATAATCAAATTAGTTCACATAAGTTACCTCTTGGAAAATACTTAGTTATCTTGATAATCCTTTTAGCAGAGAGGGATAGGTTAAAATTAGGAGTAAGCAAATCTCTTCCTTTCCCCTTTCTGCAAATCTAAAATAAAAGGAAAATTTAAAGACCTTTGGTTTATGACCTTGGTAATTTTCACATTTTATTGCATATTACAAACAGTGGACAGTATATTAAGATTTGCAGCTTTGCACTGCTTTTTGATGCAATCCTTCACACTGTATAATACATAATGAATGATTACAATGTATAATATCCTGGATTGGCTTCAAAAGTTATAAAATTATTGTACAGCCTGCCCATGTTACTGGAGACCCTTATTAGTTGAGTTTCTTCATCTTCTCCACATCTGATAGTTATTATAGCGTTCAGTAACATTTCAGTGAAAAATACTGATTAGTTTAAAATCATGCATTAAAAGCCTTTAAGTTTCATATTTCAGCTGCTTGTGGTTAGTTATTGCGAATGTATAAGATTTAATAGTAATAAAATATTGTAACATTAAGTATTTTGATAGATTAGCTCACCCGCTGCCAGGTATTTAATAAACAACAGCTTGTTGCAGTACCTTATACATTCATACTTTGAAAAGTTGGCTAATGTTTTTGCAGTATCTATATTTATCAAATATTCTGTTTCCTTGCAGGCCAATTATACGGACCCACAAAGCAAGCTACGTTTTAGCAGTACGGAGGAGTTTTCATATATCCGCATGCTTCCTTCAGACATTGTCACTGGTTACTTGGCTTTGAGGAAAGCAACCAGCATAGTACCATGAAAGACTGTAAAGCAGAGGAAAAGGACATTTCTGTTGCATAGAGCAAACCGTATAAACGGGATGTGTTCAATGGATGGAACTTTGTGGAATCCTTTGTGGAGTCCTGTAGCTCAGTGGTTAGAGCACTCGCTTTGCAAGCGAGGCACCTGCGTTCAATTCCAGGCAGAGCGAAACCTTGGGCAAGTTTCCTTACTCCACACACCTAATAATAATAATCCCTCCAAGAACAAAAAAAAATAATAAATTGGTCATTTTCAATCCATGACTGCTTGTGGGACACTGCTGTGCGCAATTGGCTGCCGCGTTTCGCCCACAAATATACGGTCAATTCACTTTACAGTCTATTGTGTGAAGTGCTTTGAGACTTCAACAAGACGTGAAAGCGCTATATCAAATACAAGGATTATTATTATTATTTTGGGTGTACCTATGCATCTCAGCGGAATACAGTTTTGTTAACAAAACACTTTCAAAGACCTTTGCTAACAAGAAATGTAGAAATACTTTAAGATGTGAAAGGGACCCTGTGATTATCAACAACCCAGCCACTTAAAGGCTTACACCAAATACCAGAAGGGTAGCTAAAAATAGAAAGCCTATTTTGTGTATTTTTGCTACAATTTGCCCAAATGTTGAAATGAAGTTGTTGAGCTGAAGTAAAAGTAACTGAACAGCGTTAGAATTAAGTTACAACAACAACAACAAGATTCCATTTATAAAGCGCCTTTCACGTCAGGAGGACGTCCCAAGGCGCTGCACAGTTGGGTCATGACCCGAGCAGGGGGGAAATGGTCAGGGTGAGGGGAGGGAGGGAGCGAGGAGGGGGGAAATGGTCAGGGTGAGGGGAGGGATGGGAGGGAGCGAGAAGGGGGAAGAGAGTCAAGAGGGGAGCTGAAGGCACGGTCAAAGAGAAAGGTTTTGAGACCGGCCTTGAAGGAGGAAAGGGAGGAAGCGGCGAAGGCACTGGGGGATGGAGTTCCAGAGCCTCGGTGCTGAGAGGCTGAAGGCCCGACCACCAATGGTAGGGCGATTGGGGCGGGGGACGTGGAGCAGACCGGAGCCAGAGGAACGGAGGGTACGGGCAGGTAGGTAGGGGGATAATAGGTTGGAGAGGTAGGAGGGAGCGAGGCCGTGAATGGCCTTGTAGGTGAGGATGAGGATCTTGAATTCGATCCTCTGGGGGATGGGGAGCCAGTGGAGGCGAGCGAGGGTGGGAGTGATGTGGTCCCGAAGCCTGGTGCGGGACAGTACACGAGCTGCAGAGTTCTGAATGACCTGCAGCTTGTGGAGGGAGGTGGCGGGAAGGCCGGCGAGGAGAGAGTTCCCATAGTCCAGCCTTGAGGTGACAAAGGCGTGAACCAGGGTTTCAGCAGCGTGAGGGGTGAGGTAGTGCCGTAGTCTGGCGATGTTCCGGAGGTGATGGAAGGCGGTGCCAGTTGTGGTGCGGATGTGGGAGAAAGGACAGCTCAGGGTCGAACAAAACGCCGAGGTTCCTGACTGGCTTTGAGAGGTGGAGAGTGCAGCCTTGGATGCTGATGGTGTCGGCGCCTGAGGTGCGGAGGCGCTGACGTGAGCCAATCAGGAGGGCCTCGGTTTCTGCACTTGCAGACGTCCCAGTCGATCAGCCATCTTTGGATATTATGATCTTTCAACTTTGCAGCTAAAATACCTCAATATTCCAAGACTTCCATGTCTAGTTGGCATGTATATGTGGAACTCTGGATGGTGATGATTTCCACATGTGTTAGGACAACTGGCTAACAAAAAACATCATTCTAACTCAGTAAATATTACATATGTGCATACTTTCATAAATATCATCTGCAGCCTATCAAAATATGCTTCAAAAGACATTGCAAATGATTTAACCGGTGTCTTCGGGTAAATTCGGGTGCCTTCTACCCCTGCCCACCACCCCTCTGGAACCCAGCCCCCTGTTCGGGTCCAAATCCCTGACTGTCCAGCACCTTGGGACATCCTCCCAAATGCGAAAGGCGCTATACAAATATTAATTTGTTTTTGTTGTTGTAGAGTCACTGGGAGGAAGTGTTAACCTGTGTTTTATATTTATTGTCCATGAACATGGAGCTTTGAACATGGAGTTATATAGCTTTGCAGCTCCTGATTTGTGCATTGTTTTAACACTTACAATGGTAGGTGATTTGAATATTTATTTTCCTTTATTTTCCTTTTGTATATTCTCCTGCATCATCGTTCTTAAGGGAACAGATTGGAGATCTGGTCTGAAGCCCCAACTGAAGATTTGCTGCTGTATTGCTGCTTTCCTGCAGAGAGAGAAATATTTGAGGGTATTTGAAGCTTGACTGCTCTTGCCTATGTTTGGAAGATTTATTACAAATATGCCTTGGAGCAGAGCACCTGTCTGCCCTACTGATTAAGTTAAAAAGATGTGTGGCGAAAAATGGAGGGATCATTCATTTTCAAATTGTTTGTTAGAAGCATTGTTGTTTTTATGTTTTAAAATAATCTGTTGGGTGAAACCTTTTCTTCTGGGAGCAATCGTCACAGCTTGAGATCATTAACAGAGTCGATGTGGCACATATCATAATGGGTTTAAAGCCAGTTCAGCTGGAGAATTAAAATGCTGGTCTTGTCTAAGTTTATCCTGAGTGAGCTCAACTGTGCAGTATTAATTATCTTTTTTCAGTAACCAGTACAAATTGTTCTGTTCCTTAAAACCGTTTAATTATTTATAGTCAAAATAACCATGCATTACCATTGTGTAATTCAGTTAGGTACCTAATTACACACATACTTAATCTTGTCATCAGTTAACATTATTAATTGTACTCGCAAGCTTTTGTTTTCAAATTACTGTATAAAAAAAGACAGTCATGAACTGATATTCACACAAACTGTCCTTCAACAAGACACATGTACCTATTTTATTACATGTTGTAAATGTGCAGTATGGTGGGCATTTTTTTCCCCAGACAAATGGACTTTTGACAGTCTTGAAGGGAGAAGAGACACGGCATAAATATGCTGGTTCCAGAATCTGGAGGTGTGGTAACAAACTGTCTCCTGAAGGACACCTGTGAGTGCAGTTGATCTGTTTGTTTATGAAACAGATGCAGTAGAGGAATAAAGAAATCCTAAAGTAAGCAAAGTAGACTCTTCAATCTATTTGATGTCATCAATCCTACTGTGTTCCCATCATAGCATCAACAACAACAAATTGCATTTATATATCACCTTTCACATATGACGTCCCAAGGTGCTGGATACCCCCGAGCTGGGGGTTGGAGTAAAGAGGGGTGGAGGTGGGAGGATGACCAAAGCCACATTCAAAGAGAAAGATCGTGAAGACAGGCCTTGAAAGAAACAAGGGAGGAGATGAGGGGGGCGGACTCCAGGATAGAGTTCCAGATAGTGGGGGCAGAGGGGCTAAATGGCTGCCAATGGTGGGGTGGACAGGGTGGGGGACATGTAACAGGCCAGAGTGTAGGGAGCAGACAGGTTGGTAAAATCTTATTTCTCAAAGAAGACCAGTCCTCTGGTAATTGCAGGAAATAAACCTTTTTTAAAATATTTTTGTGACCAATATTCAGCTTTATTGCCATGCTTGACAAATGTATTGAACTTTGAAGAATAACTGATTTTTTGGGCAAGGGAACCTCAGAAGATGTTATATGTTTAGGGCTATAGAGTTCCGGATGATCTGCAGCCTATGGAGGGAGGAGTTGGGGAGGCCGACAAGCAGGGGGTTTGTGTAGTCCAGCCTGGATGATATGAAAGCGTGTATGAGGGTCTCTGCAGTGTGAGACAGTGGCGGAGCCGAGTGATGTTGCAGAGGTGAGGAAAAGCGGAGCGGTTCATGGCATAGATGTGGGGTATGAAGGACAGTTGAGATTTGAATAGGACGGAGAGATTCTGTATTGGGTCCGTGAGATGTAGAGTGCATCCTTGGAGGGAGATGCTGTCAGTGCCTGAGGTATGGAGGCGCTGATGGGAGCCAAGCAGGAGAGCCTCGGTCTTGTTGACATTCAACTGCATGAAGTTAGCTGTTAGCTCTCATTCCAGGACTTGATGTGAGGCCAACAGTGGTTCTGGAATCCAGGGTAGAGGCAGAGAGGTAGAGTTGGGTGTCATCCGCATACATGTGGAATTTGACCCCATCTCTATGGATGATGTCCACTAAAAATGGGTTAAAAAACCCCTGATCACTTTCCACGTGAGTTATGACTTATGAGCTGGGCCAATAGGAAAGTTGGCCTCGCATTTTCCACTACACCAAACCCGTCAGCTACAAACGCACCATAAATGTAGTTTCTGGTCCACGGGCCACTCGCCCTGTTTACCTGACGTCACTGTGGGTGGAGCTGTCTCTCTCTTTGTGAGTGTGTGTCTGTGTATATGTGTGTCTCTCTCTCTGGGTTTCTGTGTCTGTGTGCGGTGCTGGCTCTGAGAGGCAAGAGGTGGTGAGCTCCTGTAGCCTCCCTGCTGCGTGTGGTCACCCTCCCCCCCCCCAAAAAAAATGGCCATCCAGCATTTTTCTATTTGCCCAGCCTAGGAATGTGAGAATGTTCACTTTGGAGAAAAGAATAAATACTCCTTATATTTGGTTTACTGCCTTTCATGTTGGGAGGACATCTCAAAGTGCTTCACAGGTTATACTGTAATGTAGAGTTACAGTACATCTGGACGAATGTGATGGACAATTTACGCACAGCAATGTCCCACAAGAGAATGATCAGTTTTAGCTGGGGATTGTTGGTCAGGCCACTAGAACAAACCCCCTTCTCTTTTTGAACAGTGCCATGGGAACATGAGTGTCTAATAGGTCGACAGACTTGACCAGAGAGACAGGGGGTTAGGTATGTTGGTTAAATTCAAGATGACCAAGATATATTTTTTGACAAAAGAAGTGATTGTAGGGTTGAAGGTGTCTAAGTAAATTATTTTAAAAATGGAATTAAATAAACACGTAACGTTAAATGGGGAACGCACAGGAGAGTGGTTGTAGATTAGTTGGATCACGATGGTAAAAAAAATTACCAGCACAGATCTGATGAGCCAATTGGCCTCTTTCTGTTCTGTTCTATAACAAGCTATTATTATAATAGTATAAAATACTACAGTTTGGTACTCCTCAAGCCTTGGGACTGTCTGGATGAACCACAATGTTATTTCCTAGTCTTGTATGTTCCTGTGAATATAGATTTAAAACTTTAGCTGAATAGCTCAACGTGGAGCTTCTCTGATAGACAATAAGAAGTCACTATTTGTTATCAAGTGGTATAAGGTGACCATTATTCTGTTACTTTCTGGCTATGAAAGAGGAGGAAAATCTATTTAAGAGAAAAATATACAGAAAGCTCACTGAGCTTGTTGAAAACAGACATTTTGTTTCAGAATGAACAGGCCGAACGATTTTCTTCAGTACATCTTCTTGTATACATTGATTTGCGATCTGCCTTTGGAAATGTTTAACGGTAATAACTGTTCAAAGTAAAACCGATGTACAGTATACATAAATCCAGATTATGATTTAATTTTCCCGCATTAAAAAATATCTCATACCTATGATATAAGACTTGTTATAAATGTTTCTGTCAAACTGATTTAAAGAAATAAATGGGGATAAAGATAGATTAATGACAGAATTTGAGTTCTGGTGCCAAGATGTGTTGGGGGAATGTTGCCTGCTGGGACCAGGGTGTGTTGTTTGCCTGGAGGTCTATGGTTGCATAATGAGGATGGATGAACTTTGCTGCAAGACGATTAGTGGAGTGGAATTCATCATAGGGTGGGTCACTGGACAGAGAGGCTTTGATGGGATGAATAACCCTGCCTTGTTCAATTTATTTTTAGGTTTAAACATATTGATGTTAAATTTTAAATAAATTAACTTGAATTTTATTTATGGCATAGATTACGACCGAGTTTAAAAACCCAACCCTAAAATTAAAGATTTATCTGAAAAAACAGTTTTGTCTGTTGTGTTGTCTTGCAGTAGAATCTTATGTATGAATATTTTACTGCTTTGTTAATCATATTCACTAGTAAAATGGTATTTGCATTAAAAAGCATGAGTATCCAGCTTTACAAGTACAGGGGAAGAAAGTATTCATATCCACATAATCAACTGGGTGTCTGATACATGCAGAAAGCCATCACAATGTTTAAGAGTTTCAAAACAAACTACTAAATTTCCCAGATTCTGTATGGTTTCCATTTACGTGGAATGGAGTTTGCATTATTTTTCCCAAAAGGATGTAGCCCCAACTTCCCCCGCTTACCTAATTCCAGAGCGTTTTGGTTCAAGAATGCCAAGAAGAACCCAGAGTTTGTATTGAGGTACTGATGGAATTTAATCTGTTACATTTGCGAATAATGGCAAGCTTCCCTCTGCTTGTCTAGGTAGGACCATTGGGGTTTTGGCTTGCAGGATTTACAGGAATTGGGAAGAATTCTAGTCTCCAGTGACTGGTCTGTACCTTGTCTGCTGACAAGTCACGTTTGATTTGTATTTTAATATTCCATTGCCATGTGTGTCAGCTTGGAGCTTTCTTAGCCCCTCCCACACCCAGAGGATAGTTTCTAACTGGTCATTAGGGAGTAATACTTCTGTTTTGCTTGTTAAACTTGTACTAATGGAAGTGCAAATACCTCAGAAAACCTGAGGAACATTTGTCCTAGAGAGTGTCCGCCAAGCCCACATGATCTTGCATGGTGTGCACTGTAAGAGCTTTCCCTCTTTACAGCCACCTTCAATTAATCTTCTGACACATTGCAATCTGCTCCACTGTGGGAGATGTCTTTGCTTCAGTATTGCAGAACAGCATGTGTTTTTGGCTTGTCCCAAAGTATGTTTCCTTCCAATGAATTTCTATTCAAATGTATGGATTGATTTATTTTTGTCTCTGATTTCTTTTTTTCTTTTTCCCCCTCTCCGTCCTTCCCTCCCTCCCTCCCTTTGCTGAAGTTAGCAACTCTGGCCAGGACCCTCTCCTAAATAGCCATTCTTGATGCATGAACCTGAAGAATGACCGGCAATCCAATTGTGTCCCAGCCAAGCAGTCATCCTGACCACTAAATCTCTCATTCCCCAACAGGATTGCTGAGAAGATCGAGACTTTAAATTCTACACTGAATTTAGGCAATCCATGACTGTTTGTGGGACACTGCTATGTATTTTACCCACAAAATATACAACCAATTCACTTTACAGTATATTCTGTGAAGTGCTTAGAATCGTCTCAACAACATGATAAGGAGCTATGTCAAATGCTCCCTATTATAGGCTATCTGATTAAACACATTCAGGTTCCTCTCATCCCTTGCTATCCCTCTGGAGGGTGGGGAATGGGCCCCCCTGCAGCTGGACTAGTTCCAAGGTGACTTGCGTGGCAACACAATGTCAGAATTGAGTCAACATTCTGTCATGGTAGTCCAGTTCCTGAACCAGGAAGCTTATCAGACAGTGCTCTCAAGCTATGCAGGTTTTATCTGGCTAAACACCAGGAGTACCCCCATCGCACATTCTATGGTCACCAAGTCTTGGCTTTCGATAACCTGGACCTAATATTATCTGGAATTCCAGATATGGTCCGTATTTCAACAACAACAAGATTCCGTTTATAGAGCGCCTTTCATTCCAGACACAGGAAGATTTTTCAAGTGTAGATGGTGTACATATGTGGAACTCTCAATCTCGTTTACATACTCTTTTAATAATGGTGGGATCTGTATGTGTCAGATACTCAGCGTCCAAAACATTCCTGTTTCTCAACCAAATGCAAATAGAGTCAACAATGTCAACAAGGATGAGAAAACAAAGATCACAATGTTTCAGGAAAGGCTGACAATGCAGACACAGAGGCGGATTATTAAAATTAGCACACACAATGATGCTTGATGGAAAATGTACCATCTGGAAGGTTTTAGATTAGATTAATTTAAGTTCCTCTGAGTCTAAAAATCACTGCAAAACCCACTGAAACCAATAGAGGTAAAGTGTCTGTTATTCAGTCAAGCGGCACCTGCAGTCACTCAGCCCCAGTGCCTGCAGTGGGAATGAACAAGCAGTACCAGGCAGGGATGTGGAAGGCATCCTATCGATTGCCAACGAATTGTTACATAATTCAAAGGCTTCCTTATT